TTGAATTAAATGACGATCAATATCAACTTTTAATTGAGACGGATAGAATAGAAAAGTACACCTATTTTATGGAACTATTAAGAATCGAAGTGTAACTCTCTCGGTTGACCGACGGCAGCGACGGCTGCACTTTTTTCTACAAAATTATCAGCGGTGAAAGGTTAGCCGATTGACTTACACTTCTAGCTGCATTTCATTTATTATCACGTTCATCAGCGGCTGCATATTCTTGTGTAATGGCCACGGTTAATTCTACCAAAGAAATGACTAAACCACCTATAAGTTATATGGGATTAATAATATTAGCTATACAAAATAGTCCAGATCAAAAATATACTTTAAATGGTATTTAACAATATATTATGGATCATTATTCTGTAAGTATTTAATGAAAATATGAAATAATGATTTTGATTTTTTTTCTCTAGTATTATCGAGAAAATCAAGCAGAATGGAAAAATTCTATTCGACATAATTTATCATTAAATGAGTTTTTTGTTAAAGTTGCACGAGATGATAAACAACCAGGTTTGTTGAATATTGACATTCGATTACAGAACTAGTAATATCGATACTTTCTAGACAATGAATAATTATTTTGACTATTGAAAACGACGTATTATTGCATTAAAATAAGTGTAATATATAACTTCTCCTGTAGGTTTTCGAGTAATGTTGGAAAGTGTGAGAACAGGAAGTTGAATTAAAATAACTTTCGACATTTATTCTTTTGACCAAATTAATGTAGATCAAAAATTCACTCATGTAATACTTTGAGAATTCATAGATTGATAGGATATTTCAAGCTCTTATGAATAAATGCACTTTTTAAGAGACATTTTTTTTTATGGAGTCAAACAAATTGAGAATTTTCAGTAAGGTTTCATTCAATAGCTGGACGCTATGATTGACAATATCACTTCAAAAAACAAAAACTTAGGTTATGTCTACGAAAAAATAAAATTTGCAAAAAAAATTATGAATTTTTAAAGAATCTGTTGTAGTGTTTGATGGGCACTTAAGAATGATTTCTTTTACACTCTATAGTCTATCAGATCATCTTAGTCCGGGAAAATATTAATTTTGAAATATATAGTTCTGTTAAGTTTTTTCAATAGCAGTTATTGCAATATACTTTGAAATTTAGTTCGTTCAAAGAGAATATCGATTAGCTTTTCTTGATGTCTCATTGTAATTCTTCAAATCTTGAAGAAAAAAAGTTCGAGAAATCTTCTTTTTGCCGAGATTCCTGTAATCAAACAAAAGTTTTTGATAAAGATCGGAGAATCGAACATATATCATATGGACCGATCAAAAACCACCAACTATAGCAAGGGCAAGTATTTGTCTTACCCTTAACGTATAATCTTCATAATATCGGGTGGCGCATAGAGAATGGCAGTCTCAGTATTTTATCAATACCTCCTTCAATTTAATAGCTCATATTTCGGCTTAGTTTTAAAAGACTCCTCGTGCGATTCTCTACAGTGGCGCGCATTTTAGAAAACCGCACGAGGAATCTTTGAAAACTAAGCTAAAATATGAGTGATCAAAATGGAAGGAGATATCGATAAAATACTGAGACCGCCATTCTTTATGCGCCACCCGATATTTCAAAGGCTTAAAATAAAATCCATATTCAATAGGCTCATCATACTCGTCTTTTCGAGCGCTACAAAATGACTATGTTAATGTTTTTCGTTAAAGCTTTTCTCGTCGAAAAAAAGAATATTTCCTAATAAAAGTATTTGTACTTTTTTCACTCCTTAGCAAATTTTCTAGTAACAACGTAGGATTTAAAAGATCCAAAAGTATGCGCTTTGTAGTGATATGAAAGAGGAATAAAATGAGCTTATTCGGCGCGAGTTTATTCTCAATCTTCAAAGTGCTACAAAGAAGATACGTCAACTATACTTCAAGTATTCATTCTAGCTCTATCGGCAGTTTTCGAGAGTTGCCATGGCATGGAAATGTTGCAATTCGAATTATGATGTTCTATACTTGAGACCATACCGACATAAAATACGAACTTTTTTAGTTATTTTTCATAAATAGGTAAAGGATGTTATTGGATGCTGCATTCTGATTTATATTATATGTTTGAAAATGGCTCATTTTTACGACGGCATCGTCGTCGTCGTCGTTTTAAACAAGAATCATCAAATAATCATCATTGACATCAACAAGCAATACGACAAAAAGCACATCATCGAAATTCACCAATTTTAAATAGCATGTCACTCAAGCCTTATCTTTTTCTGCTCGCGTTGCATGTATTTAAATGATGTGTTTTTCTGTTTTTGCTTGTCCTTACCCAGGCGAGCAAAGGACGGGTAAAAAGACTAGTCATTTTTCTAGTCGTGACTATGCGTCATGTCTAGTCTTTTTCTCAAAAAGTCCTACTACATGACTAGTCCAAAATGGTTTGGAATCTTTAACCCCGTCTGGGCATCCCGTCCGAAAATAGATTTTAAATTAAAAAAGGCAAAGCGCCTGTGACGCGACATCTATTAGGTTTCAGTCTTATGTAGCGGTCTAGTTCGGACTAGTCTAAATGATAGAAATATGTGCAGAAAGTTAGATTCGTACATACATACCTTGTGTTACTTACTCGTCGTCTACCCGATTGAGCCATATGATCTAGTGATCAACTTTTACATGTCAATACACATCTGAAGACACTAATTACTACAGTTTGACTCAGCGTTTTCTCAAGTTTTAATATTTATAGAAACTACTTGTAATAAAATCGAAAATTAGTTACATAAAGCTAAGCAAAATTAATTCAGAATTTTTTTAATTTCCTTCAACAGAATTTTTTTTGATTATCGACATATAGAAAAAATTATTTTCTATTGGAAAAAACAATTAAAATTTAAATCAAAATCAAAATAATAATATATATTTCAAAAAAAAATCTTGCTTTTCATCTCATGGTTTATGTTTATCTTAATTTAACATATTTCCTATTTAAATTTGAAAATGAACTATGATTCTATCGTTTAAAACCATTTTTAAATTCAAATCATTAGGTTTTATATCGGAATAAAACAATATTCTTATATCAATGCATTAAAATTAATTTTTCGAATAAAATTATTCTTTATTGTTATTACAATGTAAAAATTTAAAAGGACATAAATAGCCAACTCTCGTTAGATACGTCGTTCTAGTCCCAATACAAACTAGTCTAAACGAATTGTTCGAATGATTAAGCCCAAGCAATAAAGACTGTTTGGAAGGATAGACTAGCCTGGACCAGAATTGGCATTACTTTCTCGAAAACAACTAGTCATGACCAGTATAGATGACTCTTCATACTAGTCCGCGTTACCTATTGAAAACAGTTTAGACTAGTCAGGTATCCAATATTGTCGGCTAGAATATTCGAATCCACCTATCGCCTCCCTTTCTTCTAGTTTTTGCCTTCAAGTTGACGCGTCTGGACAGTATGCACATACAAAACGGACTAGCCATGACAAGATTAGAGCATGTTTTGGACTAGTCTATTTTAGATGCAAGACGTTGCTTATGAAGACGACTAGTCCTGACTAGCTACAAATCATTTCAGACTAGTCATGTCGGGCGTCACCCCTTATTTTTTGCTCGCCTGGGTATTTTTTGAATAAAGTAGAAGATATGGAGTCGTTCCCTCATAAAGACCTAATGCTACAAAATTAAATCATTCTCGAAATCAACTTCAAAAAAGTCAGTGACTTTTCCACTCCAAAAATGGAACCAGTCGAAGCTAGTCAATCAGGTGATTATTTATCATTCTACACTCATCCATCAGCATCAATGAAAATACCAAACTTTAATCTTTTTGATACAGTGACAGCTGCTGAAATATATGATTCAACTGTTAATTCACTATCCAATGGTAATAATAAAACTAATCTTCATCATACTGGACAACATATCTATTCCACAAATAATGATTATACTTCTTCTATTTCAATATCAAATGGATATTGGTCGTATTCAACGCAACCATATTTACCACATACAACAAGACAATATATGGTCAATCAAGCATCTTCAGCATCAGCGTCTGATACAAGTTCATTACCTACTGAACAAGCTTTATCCTATTATACACATGAGTCTTATTCATATATGCAAAAAATGAGTGGAAATTATCCAGTTAGTTATGAATTTTATCAATAACATAATCCCAAATACTTTTAAATTTTTCTTTGAGAGTGAGTGAGTATAGCTACCACTATACCAGGTATTTCGATGTTGTAACGAAAAACGTCGCCGGTCAACTTAGGATAGTGAACTACCTCCTCTATAGGTGTATTTTACTGATCAGAGGTCAACGTACCAAAATCCGAAACCTCTGGAGAACCATCTGCAGACAGTTCAAGAAGCAAAAATAACCTTGTATTTCAATCTGGAGTTGTAAAGGACACTCAGGGCTATCTATTTATGAAAACAAACAATATGTTTTTGTCCGAAACTTTTAAGCAAAACCGTGGATTTCCAGAAAACCCAGCTTCTAGGCGTTTTCAGAAATTGAATTTGCTGTGAAAAGATAGCCTAGGATGTCTCTTTTCCATCATTAAAAACCTCAGGTGAATATCTTTTGTCACTTTTGGGTTATTCAAAAAGCAACCAGTTGCCTTATATTCTAGCGCCGATAATAGCTATCTCTTAATTCATATAATTGGCAGCATAATACCGATCGACGGACGTCTAGGTACAGATGAAATTAATACTTTGCTAATTATCAAATATTGAATGAAATATTGGAATTTTAGTGAAAAATTGCTTGCCCGTAACTCAAGTACATGAAAAAAAAGAGATTATTTTGGAGCATAACTGTAGTTTAGGCACACTCTTATCCTTACAGATACACTGATTAATTCATAGAATATGCTAATTAAACAATACGATGTGCCTAAATTATAGTAACAGTGAAAGAATTAATGAAAAGAAATGATAATGAATAGATTTGAAGGCATCCGATAATAGTTTTTTCTGCGTTTTCCTATTATATTATTTATTTGAATATGAAAATATTTGTTAGAAATAAGAAGTCTGAAACTTATGATGCGTTCTCATATTGGAATTTAGAAAATCCAGGACACCATTTTTTTTCCTTAATAGTCCCGAATGTCCCGTCCTGAAAAATTTTCGGAATAATTCCGATTCTCCTGAGGACGGGACATTCGAGATTTTTCGAGATTCGGAGGGTGTGGAGTGAGTGTGGGTGTGGGTGTGGGGTGTAAGTGGGTGTGGTATGTGTGGGTGTGCGTGTGAGTGTGGTATGGGTGTAAGTCGGTATATAACCTTTTTTCAGTCACATTCCACACCCACACCCACCCAATATGTGCACACAAATTTTCAGATCTCTAGTCTTTATGGTAGTTAAGATCGGAGGGGAGAAGACTTTTGTCCAGAGGTGTAGTTATTCAAATAAATCGAAACAACTTTTATGAATATGAATATATTTTCTTGAAAACAACAACAAAAATGAATGTTTTCTTGAAATCAAAATAAAAAAGGGTCCTACGAAGAGTTTTATCGCGATACTAATCAAGAAAAGAAATATTGCAATGATTAAAATAATTTGTATTGTATTTGCAGTACAAAAATGTTTTTTGAATAGTATAAACAAATTTTCATAGATATCATTCGTCGTTTTTGATTTTTGTTGATTATCATCTTTATCTATATTTGTATGACATCGTTTTAATGTTTGATCTTGTAATAAATCAACAACTATTGATAATGATTCATAAATAACTTGCTAAGCAAATATAAAAGCAGGTCGATTTATATAAGCACGCTAAAGTAGAATGAATTTATTTGTGAACTTATTTCCATTATTATTTGTTTCATTATTAATCAGCCCGAAATTTACATAAACGAATAAATATTAAACAAAAAAGGTCTTCAATAAAATGCTATCGTTAATCATTTTCGGGGTGTGGGCGTGGATAACTGTGGGTGTGGGGTACGTATGTGCCTAAAAGAAAAATCTACAATCACATTCATACTAACATCCTTCGTTGATTTTGTTCCGAGGTAGGCAAATCAGTAGGTTATGTATCAAATCTGAAAATATTTCATTTCATTCTTTCTCCCCTGTCATTATACAGTTAATTTCGCACATATTGCATTAGTCGATATTTTCAACCAACTATGTGATTGGCTGACTTTTTTTTGCAATGAGTCGTAAGAGAATTTTACAACATATTCAAGAAAACATTCTCTTATCAGATAAGCGAATGCAAACATAAATTTGATGATGGAGACACTGAAATAAAAAAAAACGCGTTTTTATGAGTCTTTTTTGTCTGATATCAATTGGCAATGTGCTTTAAGGTATTATGAGTCGTCATCTCTTCAGAATAATTCCGTAAATCGAATAATTTGGTTCTGGATCATTTTGATATTGCCACATCGTCATCCTCAGAAAATATTTCAAGTTCATAAAATGTTATATTAGTGACTAATCGTTTATGTGTATGTTGAAATATATTTTTTTTTGTTTTGTCTCTTTAGTTCTACTTTGTTCATATTTGTGTTATTTCTGTTAACATTCTCATTCGTTTGGGTGGACCGCCTAGTCAATCAACAATTCTTCGTATGACAATGTCATCTATCTGTATCGCCTACAGTAATAACCAATTCTTTCCACGTAGTCTTTTTATTTCTATCTATGCATAGCTTGATACATTCTTTGCAAATTTATTGTATCTTTTTTTTCGTATAGTCAGTTAAGAGTTAGTGTAGTTGATAGATCGACAACTCATGCGGGCTGCTGAATATGAATCAGTCTTTAAATTTTTAGTGCTTTCATTGAAATCTTTTACTTTGACATAGGCATTGCAGATCCATGCAAAGCGATCGAACATTAATTTAATGTCAGCCTTTCATTTGTCTATTTATTGTTTAGAATAAAATAGAGCTCTCACTTTTTAGTTTTTCTGATCACGTCAGCAGAGATGTGAGAAACAAACGAATAACTATAGTTAGATATCATTAACAGGTGTCGGGCTCACTTTGACGTTTTTTGTAGTTTTGGGATATACAATGTTGAACAGGCATAGAAGATGTTTAAAATTAACATCTAAGTTTTCATTGAAAGTTTATTATATCCAGCTGACATCCTTATTAAAAGGATACATTACTACAGTGGTTTGGGGTCGAATTCAGGGTGAAAACTTGATTTTTTTTAGTTTCGGTATTTTTTATCTTTTCTATTTTTTATATACAATAAAAGATATTTATTGTATATTATGGCTATGGTCGTATAGAGGCAACGACGCACTACAATTAATGCTATTTCAAAAAGCGATAGCTATTAGGAGATAGAAATAATGACTCGAAGAGAGAAATGAGTAGTGGCTGCTACGAAATACATGAGAATTTTTAACAAAATGCAATGGTTATTTTATTTATTCGAGCTTTCGGTGAAGGGGGAACCCCCCTCCGAAAGTCGATTTTTCTTCAAAAACTCGATTTTTGAAAAAAACACATACTCTAGTAGCCCTGAGTGTCCTCTTTCAAAACATGTATAAATTATATAAGAATGAAACATATTTTGCCAAATTTTGGGGCGTCTACTGGAAGTCATACTGGAAAATCGACTGTTGTGTTGATTTGTTGTTCCTTAGTTACCGGTAATTAATATCGTTCCATCTTCTTTATCAGCAGTATAAAATTATCCACGTATCAAGTAATCATGTTCTGACTGTTGTAGTTAGTGAAGGAAGCTTCAAAATTAGGTTATTTTTCGTAAAGGTGACGTCACAGTAAACTTGGATTTAGAAATTAGCTTAATCTTTTCTTGAAAACATCATCAACTACAAGAGCTTTTTACACACTTTTCAATGATATATAACATTCTCTAATTTCCTACACAGGAACATCATCAACTACTTCGCAATATTGTTATTCATTTTTCTCAGCTTCGCTTTTTGATCATTTACTGATTACTGCGGAACATTTTTCCAGTCCACTGTTTGACGTACGCTGCTAATATTTTTTTTTATTCGAAAGATTAAACATTTCTCTATAAATTATAGAGACAGATTTTTAAAATATGTATCCATTGTTCAGATATATGAAAATCTTTGAAAGAGCTCAAAACAGTTTTCGCGATTCTCAGTTGGATATGGTCACTACAGTTCAACGAAAATGAATTTCAAAAAACTGTTCCTACAATTTCTAGATAAAAGATTTTTCTTCATTTTGAAACAAAGTTCAACATTTTTCATGCTACCGAGCATCGGGAAAATGTTCCGTGCCAGAAGCCCCGTTTTTAGAAGTAAATTGAGTATAACTCATTAATTATCAAAAATTATTGGTTCAAAGTTTTAACAAATGCTAGTTACATTAATTGTTCTATTTCCTGAGATTTTCATCGAAATCTGTTGTACCGTTTAGAAGATAGGTTTCGGAGAGGGGGGGGGAGAGGGTTCCCGCTGAAATGCTTTCACCATCATCAGGAAAGACAACAAGAGAAAAAGAGCAGGATACATACATATATATAGTCAGCTGATTATGACAAGAAAACAAAGAAAACAAAGAAAGAAAGAAGATGTATATATTCGCGAATATATATATATGTTCGAAGAACATTTGTTATTACCCCATAAACCTGTTCTTTTTAAAGGACATCTAAATGATAATAATTTGTTAGTAAGGTAGATAAATAATAAATAGGGTGCGGGTTGATGTCTCTCCTAATTATCTACGCCCATATCCACACCCGCACCTCTACCCACAATCCACATCCACACTCACACCCTCTTGCTAGAGAAGCATCCTTTTTGCTTGAATTTGGAAGAATGTGCAGATTAAGGTACTTTGAAGTCTCACACCGGTTTTTTTGAAAGCAACATAGCTAAACTATGATTTTCGAATCCGAGGTAGAATCGAGTTCTGACATTTGGTTTGGAATTATACCATTCTTCGCATCGAACACAAGAATTCAGATCAAGATTTTTCAGTGAAAGCTGAAATCGCGAGTGAATGGGAAAGCAACGACCGACTGAATGCTACTCTATTGAAAAGTGTTTAACTGTTCTAAACCTCATGAGCTTGAAATTTAACTGGGTCTTTGATTTATTTATACAGGCACTTTTGTTCATCATCGACGAGAGACCAATAATAGAATTGAAGAAATACGTCGAAATGGTGTTTTGAACCCAGCAGCAAACTTTAATCCAAGTAGCACGGCATCAATTTCAGCAACTATCAATTCATCCTCAACAACAACTCAAAATATATCAACATGGACTATCAACGAAAACCAAGCCAATAACGACGGATGTACATGTGTTGTAAGTTGTTCCTTCTACCTCTTTTTATAATCTTCACTCACTGCATAGCAAATTCATACTTTAAAACGTGGTTTTGCTCACTGTGTGTTTATAGTTGGAGAATAAATTTATTCGTGTTACTTTCTAAAACAATGAAACTGCCTGTCTAATGCAATATACTTAAATTTGATTTCTTGTTGAGAAATATGAATAATAAAGCGTAGACCTTAAGAAGGTATCAAACTTCTATCGGTTTCTTCAGAAAAATATTACTTCACTTTGGTTCAGTTGGAGTCTTTTCAAAGTGTCATCGTTTACGGCTTAATTCATCAGAGTGCCTCCTTAGCTAAAATTAGATTCGCTCAGAAAAAAAGAAAAACTACGTTTAGCACTCGCGTTTGTTCTTCGTGCTCTCTATGTAACTATTTCCAATGAAAAAATCTTTTTTTTACTTTACATTTTAGATCTGTATGAACACATATTCAAAAGGTGAAACTGTCAATGGCTTGCCACATTGTACTCATTTCTTTCATCGTAAATGTATTCAAGCATGGTTAGTTGGAAGTAATTCGTGTCCGACATGTAGATCAAAAGTTTAAACAGTTTTTCATAGTTTTTTATGTATCACTTTACAAGAAAAGAAGTTTGTTTTAATTAAAATACCGCCCATGTAACCACGAAACGCATTTTAGATGTGTTTAAACGCGTCTCCGATTAAAACATGCTTCAAACGCACTGAAGTGAGTGTGGGGTGTGGGTGTGGGTATGGCTGAGTCTAGGTGTGCGTGCGAGTCATCTCTTCATCAACATCCACACCCTCACGCCTTTTTCTATCTCTCTAACTTTCCACCTTTTTGCAGCAGAATGAGCCATTTCTTTGCCCACTTAAGGAGACCATGTTTTCAGCTTTTTTTTGAAATTGACTTGGAAGAACAGAAAAATATCCCATCTTGTGTAGAATTTTGCGCTCTTTCTAATGATGTCCTTGGAAAAAAATTAATGTGTATTTTTGACGTGGAATCCGAGGTTTTCGACATGATCTTTAGAAAAAGAATTTTTAGAATATCTTTTGACAATTACCAAGAGGCTCAGAATCTTTAGTCAAAACATATGTGCTTTATGCAGCTTTTGATGGGTGTGGGTGGGGTGTGAGTGTGGGTGGATGCGGGTGTGGGTGGGTGTGTGGATGTGGGTGTCGGTGGGAGTGTGGGTATGGATGGAGATATACACTCACACTCACACTTCCACACCCACTTCCACAGCCACAGCCACACCTACTCCCATACCCACGCCCACACCCTCATCCACATTCATAGTGAAAACTCGATAGCCACCATGGATAACACAATTTTCAACCAATCAGATTTGAACAAGGTTTTTCCGCTATTGTTCGGATGGAACACAGATAAATTGCGGCATTTAGAAGTTATGAAGGGACATCTTTAATATGTCACGAAAAACTCCATGCTTCAACTGGACCATCTATATTCCCTAGACTGAAAGAAGGGCCATAGGAGATAAAATGCATTTGCTTGCTTGCGACAGGGTCAACGGGTGTGGGTGTGGGTGTGGGTTTCGCTATTCACTAAAGTCTCTCTCGTACCCACACCCTAGCATAATTAATCATTTTAAAGAGAGAATTGACACCACTTTCTCTTGCTTATCAGCACACATCCGCAGTTATCGTATGAAGTGAGACTGTCAAAAAGGCTCAGACTAGACGACCACCGGTCCATAATATATAATTGCAATTCTGAATGATTTTACTTAAGAAGAACGATTCTAAATAAAATTTTTCAGTTGCTTTGGTGTGGGACGTGGTATATGGATAAAGAGAAAATCTACACCCCTATCTACATTCACATCTGCACTCTCTCCTTCAAGGATCGTGACATTTCATCTTGTTGCACCTTTCAATTTTCTAAGAATTGTATTGAAAAATTTTTTAGGCAATGCACAAGATGCGCATGCAACAACTGTTAGAAGATGAATCTCATCATCAGTAGAAAGACTTACACATCTTGTTGCTTTTTTTGTGTGTTGATCACAGGCATGTTGTGCGCTCTATTGCTAGTAGGAGCATTATTATTTATGCTTTATCGTCTCATTAAATTATGGATACTCTACCTATGCCATATGTACAAAGACTTTTTGAAAATACAGGATTCCAGGACAATACATACTGATAATTGGCGATTTATTAGAGAGTTGTTAAGCTTTCCATGTCGATGATCCTTATTCTTATGATAAAATGATGACGACCAAATTTGGTGACTATTATCATACGTCATTCAGTCCTAGGGCTTGGCTCAGTATCAGTGATTCATCATTAATCGAAGACGTCGTGAAAACAAATGTACGTGTCTACTACAGGGTTGCACTCGAACAATCAACTCTTGCAGCATTGCTTACTTATAAAAATATCTTATTGGCTGGAGACAACAACCATACTCGACATCGACGATTCGTTGCTTCTGTGTTTCAACATCAAAATATCAATTCTATGATTTCTATTATAGTGACAAATCTTACATTGGATATTGTAACTAGATGTGCATTCGGAACGAAAATAATAGGAGATCAGCACGTTCATGAAATCATCTCTCGAAGTATTACAATAGCAATGGAGGAATTAGAAAAGTGGATGTTCAGTATTTTTGCCATTGCTCCATTCATCAATCAATTGTCACTGCATGACAAAGGACGCATTGATTAGTTAAAACAAGATATTAAACATGTTGTTCAGCGCATTATTAATCAGCAAAAAGAGGATTTTACTTAATCGGTTTATAAAGGTTTGAATATAATTTCGTTTTTTTTCTATTTCAAATTATAGAACCTGACTTACTTGATTTAATTTTATCGGTATGTAGAGATGAGAAAACTCCGAAGTTTCTAATAAGCCAGTTATTTTTGGTAAGTACTTCATATGTGTCAGAATAGTATCATTATGAAAAGATGAGTTCGATTCAGACTAATAATAATAATCGAATATATGGAACATATTTCATTATCTATAGTACTCGCCAGACATGAGACAACATCAAATTTGATGACTTGAACACTCTACAATCTGGCAAATAATCTCGATGTATATCATCGATGTCAAACTGAAATCAATTCGGTATTAAGCGGCGATCACGAAACAATAGGATCGACAACTTCTCTTCTGACTTACACGGAAGTGGTATTGAAAGAATTATTACAACTCCATCAACCTATACCCTATAAAAATGATAAACGATTTCATCTAGAGTCAATCTTGTTCTGTCAAACGTTTTGTTTATAGCTCCTGTTCATAAAGGCTGACCGCAGGCTAGCTCACCATTTTTTCTTATCTCGGGTAAAAGACGGTCACTTAAAGAGTTGAATCTCATTTTCAATCAATAACCACTCTTTTTCATCAAATATCTTCATTCTATTTAATAATTTACATCATAAGATAAAAATAAATTACATGAAACGACTCAACAAGCATTGAATATGAAAAGGCTAGACTAAATGCAACAGTACTATCAATTCATAATCACATAGTTTTGATTTAACCGTTCACTTCTGTGAGCTTTTGTTGAAGTTCATATGAATCATCAGCATATTTTGTTTGTATGTCTTGGAAATCGATTTTTCTATCAGCATCAGTATGCTCAGTGTTGGAAAAATGGCCATAATGCTTGATAAGCCAAGTATAACCTGTATAGATCCACGCACCAAGAATACCTCCGACAATTGGACCTATTATTGGTATCCAAAAGAAGTAGTTATGTACATGAAATACATCATTCCAACCATAGACAAATGCTCCAAAAAGACGTGGACCTAAATCACGAGCCTAAAGTGTATGAAAGAAAGAAAGAAAGAGAATAATACATTGTAGATCAATATATACATACTGGATTAATTGCAGCTCCTGCATTTATTGAAAAAGCACAAGTAATGGCCGTAACGACTATCGCAAATGCAAATGGTTTAGCTACATCCGAAATCATATGATTACAGTCCTACATAGAATGATAAATCAATGAATTATCTATTCCAAGTTGCTATCTTACATATGCCAATGCCATAACAAAGATCATCAGAAAACCAGTACTGACAACTTGATCGATAAATGTATTCCATTGAGGTATATCTTTGGCAGGCATTGTGAAGAAAATGTCAGCTGTACCATTAGGACCTATCATTTGTCGTAGACCACCATCGAATACATTAAATTGATTAAAGTAGACAAGATAGACCAAGAGAGCACCTAAAAATGCACCTAATATTTGACCAATAATGTAGAAGATACACTGTAATGGTTTGAGTTTGCGAATAGTCATGAAAGCTATGCTTATAGCTGGATTGAGATGTGCACCTAAAACAATCGATATAGAGTTCTAATAAGAGCCGTATTTATGTCTTTCTTATACCGGTAATTGGTCCACCAACCATCATCGCTAAAACAAAGAAAACAAATCAACAAATAGATTTTTATATGTTTTAAAACAAACAGTGATATTTTTTCGTTTCTGTTAAAAAAGATACTGTACCTCTTTTTAGGTTGAAAAACATGTCCAAATGCATATTGATTTTTTTTTTCGATAAAACCACTAGGCTTAGATTGGTCAACACAGCAAAAAATAGATAATAGTTCCAATAAATGAAAAAAATATTTGATTACTTAAAATTAGTACCGAATTAATTTCTCATTTATTGACAGTGAAAAGAAATATGATTAGTGATTATTTACATTGGCAAGATGTTCTGGCATCTGATGATCTCTATATACTAAATGAGTTCAGGTTAAACATATGAAATAATTTGAATTTGAAATTGTACACATGAAATATTTTTTCACTAGTTTCGCTATCGAGATTCTGTTTTTTTAGAAAGTTTCTTGTAATTACATTCAAGATAATAATTTTTCAGAGTGACAAATTCACTAATAAGTTGGTTAGTTCTTTAATTAGCTATTAATAACTTCAGTTATTGTAATTTGTGATTACTTCTCTTACTCATTATATTGAATCACGATTTAAAAGTAAGTCTTTGTAAAGAAAAAATCAGTTGCATTTTGATAGACATAGAGTTCACACTTCAAAGATGGAAAGATAAGGTCTGTTGTAGATAAGCGATACATCAGTGAAAAGGATGCTATTGATCAAAACTAGAAGAGTCATTTAGAAGAAAAAAAATTATTCAATTCAAAAAAAAATGAGGAATCAATGTTCTACTGATGTAACAAAGAACTTAAACGGATTTGTGTATGATGTATAACGAGTGACAAAATGAAGTTGGTTTTAATTGACTATTCGTCAGTGTAGCACTGTAAATCGAAGATTTGATTGCTACTTATGACTGTTTTTTAAATCTGAATCAGTCTTAGAAGAAATTGCAGATTATTAATTCTTTTTTCTTGTCACTCTAACCTGAATATGATATTCCATCTTTTATGTTTGAAACCAACGGGGGAGAAACAGCAACAATATCAATATGCATCTTTAAAAACATTTTGGATAGTGTCAAAAAACTGATCATCCTAGATGTTATTCTGATTTATCAGTTTATTTTTGTTAATATTACCAGAATATACGCCGACACCAAATGCAATACCGATTGGAAGTGTAGAATTAGAAGTTTGTCGAGCAAATTTAAAATTAGCAAGAGCAGCTTCGCCAATAAGTATTAGAATACATGTTGAAAAACATTCTGCTAGAAATTGAACCGTGTATTGTTGAAGTGCTTTTGTCTTGGCCATGTTTCGTTCGTTGTATTATGAACAACGACAGTAGATATAATTAGAATTCGAGTGCAAAATGAGGATATACTTCTTAACTTTCTATTCTTTTTCTCGCCTGCTTTTTTTTCTCGTTCTCCTTCTCTTTCTATTTGTCGTCAATGAAACTAAATTATGGGGGTCATTCAGTGCACTTACAGATCGCATATGCACATCTCCTCAAAAGAATGCATCGTATGAATTATTTCATACTCCATGTTAAATATAAGGGTTAAATAAACGATCATTCTTACATGCAAGTATAGAACATTAGAGAGAATGTTATCCTTTTGCGTTCTATCCATTTTCTTCACTTTTCAGATTTTTTCGATAGTCAATGCAAGCCACATGTTTGACTAACGATCTTTTGTACTGACAAGGAAACTTTCCTATAAAATAATAATTAAAATCATGTTACTTATTCACCTATAGTTACTGGAATGTTTTCATCGTATAAACAAAAGGAAAATAATTAGCCGAATAATGTTTAATAATGTAAATTAATGTTATGATAATTGTTTCTGAAGAAATGTTCTATGTACTATAATCCTGGAAAAAAATATTCTTCACTCTCATACGTTGTTTCAGCAAGACAATACTAATGTTTGATAATAATTTTAATGAGAAACTTTCTTAGTTATTAGTGTCTCTCTAAAATGTTGTTAAATCTATGATCAAAAACCCAAAAAAATGGGTGACTTTAAGTTGAGCTTTTCGATATTGTGGGTGTGGGTGTGAGAGTTGATTACTTGATTCCCATACCCACATCCACACCCACATCATAAAAAAACGATATTTACTTCACAGTATCCTTTATTTTTCTGCAATTATTACTCTTATGAATCTAACATGTGCCTCTTAATTCTGAAGCGAACGCAAAAAAAAAACTCGATAAACGAGCATATTTCAGCCATTGATACAAGGTATATATATATATATATATACGACGGTATATCACACACGTGTGGCAAATTTCAACTATCAACACAAAATATAACACGAGCAAAGGTAAATAACATAGAAGCAAAATTCGATGCACCAGCACAAGGATTTACTACTGTCTCCATTAAACAACATATTCCATCCTATGAAAATGTGCGAACTAAATCATCAACGAATGATAATAACCATATCTCTATTATGTAATGCCAAGGTCAGAATCAAAAGAAAAACACTAGTAATGAGCTGAATTTATCGGTTGGTACAAAAAACATATATAATTGATTTTCAGACGC